AAAAAATGGCAATAGGAAAATATGACACCGAAAAAATTGACATAATCATCAGACTTGGAAAAATTGGCACATTAATTTTTATTGATATGTTTTCGCTAAAATTTTATAACCCAACCTAACCTAACCTAAACTAATTTAGCCTATGCACGCCGTAGCTCATTAGCTGGTTTGTGGTTCGTGAGCTCGAAGTGAAATTTGTTGAGCCGTTTTTGCCTAGTGTGAAAATTGTGCCATTTTTTCTGGTGTCATTTTCCCGAGTACCAATGTATGTAGCGAGCTCCGGAGGTGGTTAGTCAGAGGAAACGTTGAAAGATTCACTTATCTACTGTAGATGTTGGCACCGCACTTTACACAGGTGGTCACTAAACCATTCCACTCCAAACGTCTTAACTGCAGCATCACAAGAACCACATAAACACCAAAATAATTCACACAAACTGAGTACATTGTTGTAGCCTGGGGTGCAGGTAAGGGGGTGGCCCGGTCCCCACCCATTTTGCCAAAGGAAGCTTTCATAATAAATCAAAATCACGTGGGGGACAGTTACTGTGCTGTTACAATGCACATTACTCACATATTGCCTTTTATTGTGGGAAGGCAGGGTGGTAACTCAGCAGGGTGTATCTGCACTTACTCTACCAGCTGTGAGACCTGCTCTAACTCTGTCACAGAATTTTAGCAGTGAAATAATCGAGAATAGAAGCTCATTGTATTTGAACAAGACGTAAGCAAATAACATTGTTTTGTTTATTGACAATCCTCCAACAGACTCGGGTAACATTTTGCACATACTGTATCGCAAAATAATGGATTCCAGATAGCAGTTTTGTCTTTCCTGTAGTTGATAAGGGCAAAAAACGTAGTTTCCAGCATTCTTATCTCCAACCTTACTCGTAGTGAGTAAAGAGAAAGGATTTTGCCGTCATTGTGTCATATTTGCTCGGCGTTTTGGGGGCCGTGGAAATCAATAGCTTGGGACCCTTGTGCTGAGGCCTTTAGTCAACCTGAAGAAGACTGCAGAACGATCATGGGACTCGATAGCTCCACTTGTTCTCTATGGTGCAGTCAGAAGCAGTTTTATTGTAAGTAGCCAAGGACCATGCTCCTCTCTATCATTTGATGAATATCCGAGCCAAGACTGAAGCCGAACGTCATGAACAGGGAAATAAGGCATATTCTGCTGCAGTACTCCCCACAGTAAAAACTGTAATATTTTGTGGTCAAAATATACCAGTGAGAGGAGTAGCAGGGTGATGCAGTGTGGTGGACGGGTTGACACAGTGTGGTGGACAGGGTGGTAGGGTAACAAAATGTGGTGGACAGGGTAGCAGGGTGACACAGTGTGGTGGACGGGTTGACACAGTGTGGTGGACAGGGTGACACAGTGTGGTGGACAGGTTGACACAGTGTGGTGGACAGAGTGGTAGGGTGACACAGTGTGGTGGACAGGGTAGCAGGGTGACAGTGTGGTGGACAGGTTGACACAGTGTGGTGGACAGGGTGACACAGTGTGGTCGACAGGGTAGTAGGGTAGCAAGGTGACACAGTGTGGTGGACAGAGGTAACAGGGTGACACAGTGTATTGGACAGAGTGGTAGGGATGACAGGGTAACAGGGTGACACAGTGTGGTGGACAGGGTGATGCAGTGTGGTGGACAGGGGTGACACAGTGTGGTGGACAGAGTAGCAGGGTGACATAGTGTGGTGGACAGAGTAGTAGGGTGACACAATGTGGTGGACAGGGTAGCAGGGTGACATAGTGTGGTGGACAGGGTGACACAGTGTGGTGGACAGGGTGATACAGTGTGGTGGACAGGGTGACACAGTGTGGTCGACAGAGTAGTAGGGTGATACAATGTGGTGGACAGGGTAGCAGGGTGACATAGTGTGGTGGACAGGGTGACACAGTGTGGTGGACAGGGTGACACAGTGTGGTGGAGAGTGTGACACAGTGTGGTGGAGAGTGTGACACTGTGTGGTGGAGAGTGACACAGTTTGGTGGAGAGTATGGCACTGTGGTAGACAGGGTGACACAGTGTGGTGGAGAGTGTGACACAGTGTAGAAGACAGGGTAGTTGGGTGACGCACTGTGGTTGATGGGATTATGTGGTTGACAGGGCAACAGGTGGTGGAGGAGATACTGGACGCCCAAGGTGCAGGCTGTCCTCCTGAGTACTTCAACATCAAGGTCGAAGAGAACCACAGATACCACACAGATCACCCACACCTGAAGGAACTCCCGGTGCTGAGGACGCGTTACGACCAGACCACGGGCTTCTCTCCTAATAACCCCCGCCAACAGGTGAGGATTGGTGACCACTAGTACGTCAACACTGAGGTAGTGAACCATCTGTAGTGGTGACAACACTGAGGTATACGTCACTTAACTTATCTAGTTATGTTTAGTAGTATTCATTCGGACATAAGGTTGTATGACAGTATTCTTGTTTTCGGACTTATTTTTAATTTGGAAACAACTATTAATCCCAATTTTAAAGAAATATTTCTTAACCCATTCAGGGGGGGATCCAGGAATATCAAAAGGGGGGTATCCAGGTAGTTGTGGGTGGGGGAACAACATAGCGAGCATAGCGAGTCCACTCAGCTTGGGCGGGGGGATGCAAGTCCCCCCAGAAAATTTTGGCCAATATCATGGGCATTTTGAGGTCATGTACACTTGATATTAGGAGATATTCTGAGGTTAATAGCAATTACTTTTTAGCCTACAAAAAGGCCTGAGTACAATACTGCATTACAAAAAATCTTGTAATTTTATGATGAAAAGGGAGGGTCCGGTCCCCCTGGATCCACCCCTGCCATTTCCTTCACATTTTTGTCACTTTTCCAGTTTCTGTAGTGCCTCTTCACTGCCTACAATAACAACTATCGCTGGTAGCTACTGAAAAAAGTCTTGACATTCTGGGAAGGCAAAAGATGAGGCATCTTTTGCCTTCCCAGCACGTCACAGATTTAATATTCTCTCGATTTTTTTTTTGGGGGGGGGGGGCATTACAATACATTCATGCTATTCAAAATTTACTATAATACATGAAGGGGAGGGCGGCCGAGTGGACACAGCGCTCACCTTTTATCCGAAGGGTTTCTGGTCTGATACTGAGATAAGCCTAGTCCATCCACTTCTAAATGGGAAGCTAATTTTACTATACAGTACCGACCACACAGACTCATTGTGTTGTTTAAAGTGTGCTGTATATCCACACTGTCTCAATCGAACTGTTAAGGCTTTTAGTAAGTCTAGATTCGGATACAGTGAGGCATCTCTTGTCAGGAGTCAAGTAAGAGCGTCTTGATGGTGAATGAAAGTACACCAAGAATCAAATTCCAAAGCAAGAATACCTTTACTGGTCGGTGAACACTGGTAGGTCAGGAGGGCCCACTGTAGAGGCTCACCACCCCAATACACATTATCTTAGAAGAGTCTTCCACATCACAGCAGTCATTTAACGACGACTGTACCAGAATCAATGACTAAACGATAATGGCTTTATACACCGACATTTGTTGTTACTGTTTAGTAATTGTAGGAGTAATGGTAATAATATATGTAAACAATAGCGATTATGATAACAGTTATTACATCAATACTACTACTACTACTACCACCACTACTACTACTAATAATAATAGCAATACTCTTATAAACTATACAACATTACCTTATAGCAAGTACAGTATGTATATTCTCGTCACTACACCCCAGAATTAATGTCTCGTAATGTTTACGTCCATACCTAACTTCTCCAAATTACCGTGAACTGATAACTCTTTACCACTTTGAGCATAAATCTGTACCACAACTTTAAAAACCATCAATAAATAAAGTTTTGCATAAAAAAATATATTAGGGTAGTTGGTGTTGAGAAGCGTGTGTGGTGGTGGGGGTCTGTGAATATTTCAGGTCATTGTGAAAGTACAGTAACGATAGTGAAGTTGACGACTCAATACACGCAGTGGATTTACATGAAGCGGTGAATCACGTGGGTGGTGTGATTCAGTCTATATATTGCTTTATACAAGATGAGAATGTGGGCTAGTACGAGTGGATAGTTCCACTGTTGTCTTATCACTTTCCTCTCTTTCAATTTTACTTTTAATTAACAATGCCACCAGTTGTGACTGTTTCCATGATTTTTACTCATATTTCCATGAAACGGATTTGTGAACAGAGATAAAACCCAAGATTTTTGTTCATATATCCGTGTTTTTTGTTCATACAATCATGAAGTAACGTTTGTTCAGATATCAAATGATTTTTGTTTCCTGCTCAGTGATAATAATAAACATGGTACTTGATGTTGCAGCTGAACGAGATCACGCCATACTTGGACGGCGGGTTGGTGTACGGTACTGGCAAGGGCTGGGCTGACGTGCTTCGGACTTTCGAAAATGGCACCCTGGCCCCCCGAGGCAAACTAGCCCCCAACGATAAGGTGATTTATATATATATATATATATATATATATATATATATATATATATATATATATATATATATAGATAGAGAGAGAGAGAGAGTTACTTTTTTGGCGTGCGCGCGCGGTGTAAGAGCTCGCTTACTTAAACTCATATTTTCGTGTTTATTTTAAATTCACGTGTGACCCTAATGCCACACGTTATACCATCAGAACGTACGAGCGTTAATGTTTGTTTATCTATTATCAAAACGGCGAAATATTCATAGGAAGCTGCGAGTGTCATGGTGCTGTGTTGTGTGTGTGTGTGTGTGTGTGTGTGTGTGTGTGGTGCTGCAAGATTAACGAAGACTTCCGTGTTGCAGCTCGGCTCAGGATACCCGGCACAGAACACGCAACGTCTACCCATGGCCAACCCCCCGCCCCCATTCAACCACTCCCAGTATGTTGGGAGAGGCTACACCGCCGAAGTGGATAGGTTCTTTAGTAAGTATCGTCTTGCAACAGACAGACAGACAGACAGACAGACAGACAGAACAAAAAATACTGCGACGAGAAAATTCCTTCAAGGTGTGATCAACAAAACATGTAAATGAGATCAATAAGTGACAGGTGCTTCTCCCAGTAAGAGACAGGTGTTTCTCCCAGTAAGAGACAGGTGCTTCTCCCAGTAAGAGACAGGTATTTCTCCCAGTAAGAGACAGGTGTTTCTCCCAGTAAGCGAAAGACTAAAAACTGTCTCATTTCTAAATTATTCCCAATATTTGTGTCAAGGTTACCGCTGTCGAGGAGAGGTTCAGACTAAAAGCATCTTGAGTGTAGACTTATTATGAGATCAGAAATGTACACAGTGAACATTAGTCTGCATATTAAAGACACTCGGTATTTCTGATAAGGGATTTCAGCTGTACTTACTAAAATAACTTACACATTATTATTTCGAGTATGACGCAGCACAAGAACAACTAATCAATGTATGTAGATGTTAATGAACCACCCATGATGCTCCAGTTATATAATACTCGAAGACTCACGATATAATTATACTCTGTCATCAGATGTGTTCTTGTAGTCATTTTACCGAATCTAATATTTGGTGTATTGATATATGAATTTATTCCTAAGTCCTCACTGTCACATAATCGGAGTTACCACTGATAAATTTTAGCCATTAGTGAATCATGTAACTCGTTCTTGATTCTAAGGTTCCTTTCACATTGTACTAAATCCGTATTTCAGTTTAGATGTGTTTTAGTAGCAATTAAATCTTCTTGTAATTAATATATAATCAATTAATTCTATTCCAAAAGTCCCTTGTAATAAAACAAAAACATTAAGGGTCATCGAAAAAGAATAACAAGATCTTAGATGTTTATATGTTGAATTCAGGTATTCTTTTACGATGAAACTGCGTTTGTAGCAATTAGTCATGAGTGTATTAAATGGTGTTCCTTCCCCGTGCAGAGCTTGGCAACCCCCGGGGTAACGAGAACCCCTTCATACTCACCTTCGGTATTCTGTGGTATCGCTGGCACAACCACATTGCTGAGTACTTGGATAAGAGACATCCCAGGTGGACAGGTAAGGCTCTGCTCCCCAAGGTAATGGTGTGGCACTTCTACACTCTGCCAACATCCAGCCCTACACCCCTTACCACCATCCCTACACTATCTTCCACCATTCCTACATTCCCTACCAACATCCTATATCCCTACCAGCACCCTATACCCCTACCACCATCCCTACACCTCTATCACCATACCTATACCCCTACCATCATCCCTACACTCCCTACCACCATACCTATACCCCTACCACCATCCCTACATCCCTACACCCCTACCACCATTCCTGCACCCTATCACCATTCCTACACTCCCTACCACCATCCCTACAACCATTCTTACATCCCTACCACAATTCTTACACCCCCTACCACCATACCTATACCCCTAGCACCATCCCTACACTCCCTAGCACCATCCCTACACCCCTACCACCATCCCTACACCCCTACCACCATCCCTACACCCCTACCACCATCCCTACACCCCTACCACCATCCCTACATCTCTAATGCATACTACGACTGTCTCAACACAAGGCTGACCATGGCAGACTCTTGTGGTCCAGAAACATTTCCTTCTATAAGAGTTTAACATCTTTTTTATGACACCATTCGCTGGAAGAGGTCGTTGGCAGGTGGTAGGAAATGTAGGAATGGTGGTAGGGGGTGTGGAAATGGTGGTAGAGGGTGTAGGAATGGTGGTAGGGATGTAAGAATAGTTGTAGGGAGAGTAAGAATGGTGGTAGGGAGCGTAGGAATGGTGGTAGGGAGTGATGGAATGATGGTAGAGGCTTAGGAATGATGGAAGAGAGTGTAAGAATGGTGGTAGGGAGTGTAGGAATGGTGGTAGGTGTTTTGGAATGGTTGTAAGGAGTGTAAAAATTGTGGTAGGGAGTGTAGAAATGATGGTAGAGGTATAGGAATGGTGGTAGGTGTTTAGGGGTGGTGATAGGGAGTGTAGGAATGGTGGTAGGGTGTGTGTAGGGATGGTGGTAGTTTCCTACTTCAGTCCCAAGCCAGGGTCAGAGTATACTTGCTTAACTTAAATATGCTGAGTGATTCTCGTATGTCAGAAAGTTCAATGAGGTGGTGGAGCTAATTATGATGACGAGTTTTGCTGTCCGGAGATAAATACATTAGATGGATTAGATTAGATAGAAGTTAATAAATCGACTCATTAATCGTCAAAAAGGAAATAAGTGTTCAGGATAACGGGATCACATGGGTTACCTGCCCTTTTCCCCTTGTTGGTCAGAGTGGTCCGACTTATTCATGGAAGGAGTGCTTGTGTCAGGTGTCAAAAAGGGTTCAAATAACATGAGATATACGGACACCACCTCCTCCTCCTCCTACCCTCCCTTAAAGTTTCATTAATTTTTTTTTCGTTGTTAATTTCCTCAGATGAGAAGATTTTCAACGAGGCTAGAAAATGGGTGATCGCCACATACCAGGCCATCGTGTATTATGACTGGCTGCCAAAGTACATGCGCAGAGAGCTATCTCCATACCAGGGTGAGTCGTTCCTTGTTCTACAGCCCTGTTATTGTGTACTGCTGATTTATCTTTACAGTTAATACAGGGAGTAAGGTGTTGACGAAAACCTCTGTTAATGCATGAAGCCTTGTGTTAATGCATGAAGCCCTGTGTTAATGCATGAAGCCTTGTATAAACTAAAAGACAAATTTGGGTTAAAGAAAAGTGTTGTGTTGTTTTATGAACTGTAGTCATGTGTTAACACCCTCTCTTTTCCTTGTAGGCTACAAACCCACGACTGATCCACAAGTGAGTCACATCTTCCAGTCAGCAGCCATGAGGTTCGGACACACACTCGTCACCTCTGGCGTTCACCTGCGAGAACGCGATAAAGACTTATGCGGGGTGAAGTCCTTCAATCGCTATGGCGAAGAGGTGGGAGGCGTCAGGACCTGCAACTCTTTCTGGCTTTCTCCGGTAGGTGCTGGTGCTTCCATGGTATGTTCTTGCCGTTTCGGGTTACAGTACTTTTTGATGATTCCAGGTAAAACCCATCGGCGGTCCTCAGGGGCATATAACTCAGTCGGCAAGTTCTCACGACAAGATTGATTTTTTTCTTTAGGATTTCAAATATATATGAAACACTGGCGCTACAGTTCCCATATTTACAATCAACAGCTCAAATGTAATACATCTGTATTATTCACCAACAGCATACATAAATTAATCAATATAGGAATAAAAAAATGAGAGGCAACGCCCCAACTGATAATTAAAATAATAAAAATTTTATGATCATGTTTATCGCCTTAAATAAATTGACGTCTACTAATCTGTAATGACCAACTCGCTGTATTTGGTGATCTTTATAAACTCTCTAATTCTAAAAGTCTGAAAAAAACATGAATATTTTACTAGCACGAAGGTTTTCTTTTTCAGGAATTTTTCACTGGCGATCCAGGCAACTTTGAAAAGTTTTTGATGGGACTAAGCAGCCAAGGTTCTGAAAAGGAGGATCATGTAATTGTTGAAGATTTAAGAGGTACGTGGTACAGTTTAATCGCCACAAATGTACCTGGAAAAGTGTTTAGGGTACACTTGTCTGTAGTGCAGCTGGGAAGTAACTGAGATATACTTATGTGTCTATAGGTCAACTTGGGAGGGTTGAGGGCACACCTTGTGAAAATTACAAGTTATGGAAGGACCGACTTGGAAGGTTAACCAAGTGAGAACAGCAGGGCGTAGTAGGGAGAAGCACCAAGAGATAATGACATATAAATCTGTATTAGTAATTGATATTAAAGAAATTATGGGTCTAACAGATGAGTAGATTGATAGGTAGACACAGGGATAGATACAGGCACATAATAGTTGATGTAGTGTAGAGGATAGTGTAGCTGATGTAGTGTAGAGGATAGTGTAGTTGGTGTAGTGTAGAGGATAGTGTAGCTGATGATGTAGTGTAGATGATAGTAAAATCACGAACATAGATTATGAGCTACTCCTCATAACTAAAGCAACTCCAACATGTTATAATATAGGGAGTAACTCCAGGTAATGTGTTTGGTCCCTTGGAGTTCTCCCGGCGCGACCTGATGGCTATCAATATACAACGCGGACGAGACCATGGGCTGCCAGACTACAACACCGCCAGGAAGCATTTTGGCCTACAACAGCTGGAGTCCCTCAATTCAAATGAGTTCAAGAGAAAAACAGGCACTGATGTAGATGAAGACGTAAGATATTTGGATAATGTGTAGTTTCTTTACAGCGGGCCTGAAATTCAATTTATGTTATATATTTAAGGAATACGGTACATCATGTTATTTCTCAACGTCTTTCCTTAAAGTCTTAAACATTTTGGAAGTATCACGCAATTGATAACGTTTTTGTTTTCTTTTTCTTTAGAATTCGTCAGTCTCGATTTATTTGGAAGAGATGACATGTTAGTTACGTTACGAGGTTAATTTGTGATAAAGTATACATACAATTTTGATAAACAATAAATACAGGTACACATACACTTGTACGTGTGTGTGTGTGTGTGCAAGGTATGTTTGCTCGCAGTCATATGTAATTTCTATGTTTACACAGGTTATCAAACGCCTTGAGAGTGTGTTTGGTAGCCCAGGCGAGGTCGATATCTGGGTAGGTGGACTTCTTGAAACCAGAAACGGCCCTGGACAACTGTTCTCAAAGTAAGTCAGTCATCCAGTTAGTCAATTAGAAGCTTAAACAGCCATTCGGTCAGTTCATTGAATATGATAACCGGACAGTGAGTTTAATATGTAATCAAAACATCCGGAAATCAGTTATTCATTTAAAGAATTAGTCCTTGTTCACCATGATGCACTCAGCAGGAAGTGTCTTAGTGATCATTATAACTCAGTTTTCAGCTAATCTTGCCTCGTGTCCTCAGAGTCATCCTGGATCAGTTCGAGCGCATCCGAGACGCTGATCGTTTCTGGTTTGAGAATACCAACAACAAGTACGTCTACACTCACTCACCTTACCTTACTATTAACATCAATAACAAACAAATGGTATTTATTAGACAACAGAATCAATATAATAGTAAAAAAACCCTGACGATTCCTTGAGTCATGAGACTATTACAAGTATTTACAATATAGGAACCGTGTGACTCAGTTGAAAGAATCAGACCCAAAGACTGATTTTTATCTGCCGAAGGACAGGTTCGCTTACATGGCAGAAATGAACTATTCCTTTCATAAATTGGCAATTCAGGAAATCTTAAACAATTGCAGCAAAGTCATGAACGTAAAGAAGAAAAGAAGAAGCAGGAGATAAAATGGATGTTTGACTTGGTCTGAGTTGAGATGCTCATGGCGGCCTCGGGGTTCCAGGGATCATAAAGCCCAGAATTATGAGCTTTTGAATCACCTTATGGCAATGTATTGATTCTGTTAGCCAGCAGATAGTTCATTATTAATGTTAATTCAGTTGTAGGGATATAGCCAAGAACCAGTTGTAGGGATATAACCAAGAACCAGTTGTAGGGATATAACCAAGAACTAGTTGTAGGGATATAGCCAAGAACCAGTTGTAGGGATATAACCAAGAACCAGTTGTAGGGATATAACCAAGAACTAGTTGTAGGGATATAGCCAAGAACCAGTTGTAGGGATATAGCCAAGAACCAGTTGTAGGGATATAACCAAGAACCCAGTTGTAGGGATATAGCCAAGAACCAGTTGTAGGGATATAACCAAGAACCAGTTGTAGGGATATAGCCAAGAACCAGTTGTAGGGATATAGCCAAGAACCAGCTGTAGGGATATAGCCAAGAACCAGTTGTAGGGATATAACCAAGAACCAGTTGTAGGGATATAGCCAAGAACCAGTGTAGGGATATAGCCAAGAACCAGATGTAGGGATATAGCCAAGAACTAGCTGTAGGGATATAGCCAAGAACTAATTGTAGGGATATAGCCAAGAACCAGTTGTAGGGATATAGCCTAGAACCAGCTGTAGGGATATAGCCAAGTACTAGCTGTAGGGATATAGACAAAAACCAGCTGTAGGGATATAGCCAAAAATCAATGTTTTGAAGCGATATTTCAGAGAATATAAAGATGATGCAGCTACTGTACTAAAGGTTTCTACTGCACAAAATTTCATTTTTGTTATCACTTTTATAACCGTATTTAATGTTCAGAGAATGAAAGCGAACTTCTATTTTGTCTCCTGTCTACTCTACATACGAACAGATGCTACACACTACTTTTTTCTTATTCTTCTATACAATCAAAATTTCTTACTTAATCGAGATAGGTTTTAACCCTTTCAGAAGGGGGGGGGGAGGGTGTTACCCTAAGCTGAATAAAATCGTCTGGCGGTAGCCAGAATAAAATGACAAGTGCGTGACACGCGGTGAAAAGGTTAATATTCAATGATGGAAGGAAGATTTTAGGAGTTTTAAGAATATCATTAAATTATACAAACAGGTCTCTTGAGAAAATTCCCAGAAGAGTTGTATTAATATAAATTTGAAGGAAATACATCTATGAAATATTAAATATGAGTATAACGTAAAGTAAAGATAAAAAGAGAAAGCAATAAACGTAAAAGAAAAATGGTTGGTATTCATTCTTTTTATTGAGAAGTCCGTTATTGAGAGGGTTTACTGTACTTATTAATCTAAGAACAGAAGGGTGAAAGTGGTAGTGTGAGAGGGAGGATTACTACACTACCTTGTTCCTGTTTCCCTCGTCAGAATTCCTTACACTATGAACTGGTGCCTTTCCTCCTTCTCTCTCCCTCTTTCATTTATGCATCAAGTGACCACTCTGGTGATAGTTCCAATTACTATAGATGATCTTTCAACAGTCTGTTCACGGAGGAGGAGAGGAGGCGTCTTCGGCAGGTGAATATCATCGACGTTGTTTTGTCTGTGACCGACCTACTGCCAGACGTGGACATCCAGAGTGACCCTTTTACAGCCGTCCACGAAAACAATAGTGAGGCTTTCTCGTCACCTGTGTTACCGAACTATGAGTCTGTGTCCGTTTTCGTTCTCTAAAATTAAGGGAAGTTGCTTTTTATTGTGTTACTTCTTGTTATCTGTTGTTGTTGTGACTACAGTTTGCTTTTGTCAGTGGGAGATGTGTGTGTTCGTTTTTATATTACAGGTGTCAGCGAAAAGTGTAAGCAAATTCTAAGCAACCAGAAAGATTGTCACTTGTTCGGCGACTTCACTACCACCTGTCGTTACCTGTCGCCGGTGGATACCGTGAAGGATAGCTGCTCACCCCCCGGGACGTACGACTACTTCGATGGCTCCCAGACATCCTACATCTTAACCTTCACAATAGTGGCGGGCGCCTGTGTGGGTGAGTGTGTGTATGTGTGGGGGCACTGGGTGTGGGGGTTACTGTGTGTGGGGGGTTACTGTGTGTGGGTGCTGTGTGTGTGGGGCTACTGTGTGAGTGGGGGAGAGGTTACTGTGTATATGTGGGGGTTACTGTGTGTGTGTGTGTGTGTGTGTGTGTGTGTGTGTGTGTGTGTGGGGGGGGTCACTGTGTGTGGGGGTTACTGTGTGTGGGGTACTGTGTGTGTGGGGGGCTACTGTGTGAGTGGGGGGGAGGGTTACTGTGTATATGTGGGAGTTACTGTGTGTGTGTGTGTGTGTGTGTGTGTGTGTGTGTGTGTGTGTGTGTGTGTGTGGGTTACTGTGTGTGGGGTTACTGTGTGTGTGTGTGTGTGTGTGTGGTGGGGGTTACTGTGTGTGTGTGTGTGGGGGGGGTTGTGTGTGTGTGTGTGTGTGTGGGGGTTACTGTGTGTGTGAGGGCTGTGTGTGTACTGTGTGTGGGGGTTACTGTGTGTGTGTGTGTGTGTGTGTGTGTGTGGGGGGGTTACTGTGTGTGTGGGGGGGTTACTGTGTGTGGGGGTTACTGTGTGTGTGTGTGTGGGTGGGGGTTGTGTGTGTGTGTGTGTGGGGGGTTACTGTGTGTGTGTGGGGGTTACTGTGTGTGTGGGGGTTTACGCTGTGTGTGTGTGTGTGGGGTTACTGTGTGTGTGGGGGTTACTGTGCGTGTGTGTGTGTGGGGGTTTACGCTGTGTGTGTGTGTGTGTGTGTGGGGGTTATGCTGTGTGTGGGGATTACTGTGTGTGTGTGTGTGTGTGGGTAGGGGGTTACTGTGCGTGTGTGTGGGGGGGTTTACGCTGTGTGTGTGGGGTTACTGTGTGTGGGGTTACGCTGTGTGTGGGGGACTGTGTGTGTGTGTGTGTGTGTGGGGTGTGGGGGGTTACTGTGCGTGTGTGTGTGGGGGGCTCTGTGTGTGTGTGTGGGTGGGGGCTGCTGTGTGAGTGGGGAGAGGTTACTGTGTATATGGGAGGTTACTGTGTGTGTGTGGGGGTTACTGTGTGTGTGGGGGTTACTGTGTGTGTGTGTGTGTGTGTGTGGGTGGGGGAGGTTACTGTGCGTGTGTGTGGGGTTTACGCTGTGTGTGTGGGGGTTATGTGTGTGTGTGGGGGGGTTACGCTGTGTGTGTGGGGGTTACTGTGTGTGTGTGGGGTTACTCTGTGTGTGTGGGGGGGGTTACTGTGTGTGTGTGGTGGGGTTACCTGTGTGTAGGGGGGAGGTTACTGTGTATATGTTACTGTGTGTGTGGGGGTTACTGTGTGTGTGGGGGGGGTTACTGTGTGTGTGTGTGGGGGGGCTGTGTGTGTGGAGGGGGTTACTCTCTGTGTGTGGGGGTACTGTGTGTGTGGGGGTACTGTGTGTGTGGGGGGTTACTCTCTGTGTTTGTGTGGGTAGGGGGCTACTATGTGGGGGGAGAGGTTACTGTGTATATGGAGGTTACTGTGTGTGGGGGGCTACTGTGTGTGTGTGTGGGTTACTGTGTGAGTGGGGGGGAGAGGTTACTGTGTATATGGGGAGGTTACTGTGTCTGTGTGGGGGGGTTACTGTGTGAGTGGGGGGAGAGGTTACTGTGTATATGGGAGGTTACTGTGGGGGTGTGTGTGAGTGGGGGAGAGGTTACTGTGTATATGGGAGGTTACTGTGTGTGTGGGGGTGTTGCTGTGTGGTGGAGAGGTTACTGTGTATATGGGAGGTTACTGTGTGGGTGGGGGTTACTGTGTGTGTGTTTGTTTAGGATGACGTGGACAGAGAGATTTGTTAAGAGAAACTCACACATACATTGACATTCTCTCCTCCCTCAGCCATGTTAGCCTTTGTCGTCATAAGAGCCAAAACTAAGTCAAAGGAGCGAGCTAAGAAGGTCTTCACCAGCATAAAAGGCAAGGAAAATGTCCACAAGGCTAAGGGTGAGTACAAGAAGGTGATCAATGTGTTATACTGTAGAGTGTAGACAGTGATTACTGTGTCATACTGTAGACAGCGATCAATGTGTTATACTGTAGACAGTGATCAATGTGTTATACTGTAGACAGTGATCAATGTGTTATACTGTAGACAGCGATCAATGTAGACAGTGATCAATGTGTTATACTGTATTGTGATCAATGTGTGTATACTGTAGACAGTGATCAATGTGTCATACTGTAGACAGTGATCAATGTGTCATACAGTGATCAATGTGTCATACTGTACTGTAGACAGAGATTACTGTGTAGACAGTGATCTGTGTCATACCAGCGTGTTATACTGTAGAGTGTAGACAGTGATTATACTGTAGACAGCGATGATACTGTAGACAGTGTCAATGTTATACTGTAGACAGTGATCACTGTGTTATACTGTACAGTGATCAATGTGTTATACTGTAGACAGCGATCAATGTGTCATACTGTGACAGTGATTACTGTGTCATACTGTAGACAGTGAACAATGGTTATACTGTAGACATCAATGTGTCATACTGTAAGTGATCAATGTGTCATACTGTAGACAGTGATTAATGTGTCATACTGTAGACAGTGATCAATGTGTCATACTGTATTAGTGATCCAATGTGTTATACTGTAGACAGTGA